TTTTCGCTGAATATCTCGGTAACGAGTGGTTCTGCGAAAAAATGTGCCAAAATATTTTTTGCAGCCGTGGAAATTTCCCACAAAAAATGTACTTGCACATTTTTTCGAAAACCGAACCGCTTTTGAGATAATCGTCAAAATGATTGATCGAAAAATCTGGGGAGTCAATTTTTCATCGGAACACCTATTTTAATTTCTTCAAAACCTACATTCTTAAAGTACCATTAATGAAAACGTGCAGTCAGTGGACGTGATTAATGGATACTTCTACCCTCGTACGATAGCAATTTAAGGGAAATTATCCAAGCAATGTGCCCCTGAACCTGACAACACCCGCTAAACTACGAAGAAGAGAGTAAAATAGAGCGAAGGCGATAGAATCAAGTGATACAAAGGGTGATTTTCAAGTGGAGAAGAGGATTGACAGCGAAGAGTAACGATACGAACTTGCTGCTATCGCCGCTCGAAGGACTCGAGGAGTGGCCGCAGTGGCAGGCACGCGCAACAATTCCGGAATCCTGTCCGCTCGAGTGGAGGGACGTAGCGGAAGCTTCGAGGCATCCAGTGCTCGTCGCCCTCTTTGGCATCCGCTTGGACGTACCGCAGCTGCGCGCCCGACTGTGAATTTAATCGGAAGGAGAATTCAACCTCACACCCCCAATCTCCGAGAAGTATAACCGATAAACTTGATCATTTTGTCGAATTTAGTCAGGGAAACGGATGATTATTTGGAGGAGGGCCGTTTCTACTTGCTTTAGTCAGACTGCGCGAGGAATTGATGCTTCGGGAACATGTGGCGTTCCAAAGAACTCATTTGCAGGTTCTTAGAGAGGGGAGATGGGGTAGAATGGGTGAAGTTGAATTAGTAGAGAATTTTAATAAAATTCAAATTGAAAAAAAATATATTGTAGCGATCATTTTCGCTGTCTCTCCTAGATTCAGAGATTTTTGTAGAGATATTTTTTATATTAACAATGCAACTAGGATTTATTCGACAGAAAAAAGACTCGAAATGTACATTTTAAACTTGATCATTTTGTCGAGTTTAGTTAGGGGAAACGGATGATTATTTGGAGGAGGGCCGTTTCTACTTGCTTTAGTCAGACTGCGCCGTCACCAGCGGACACCCATCCAAGTACTGGGCAGACTGAACGCTGCTTAGCTTGGATGACCGCCGGAGCCATAGACTCCCCGCGTGACNTGATCATTTTCGCTATCTCTCCTAGATTCAGAGATTTTTGTAGAGATATTTTTTATATTAACAATGCAACTAGGATTTATTCGACAGAAAAAAGACTCGAAATGTACATTTTAAACTTGATCATTTTGTCGAGTTTAGTTAGGGGAAACGGATGATTATTTGGAGGGCCGTTTCTACTTGCTTTAGTCAGACTGCGCGAGGAATTGATGCTTCGGGAACATGTGGCGTTCCAAAGAACTCATTTGCAGGTTCTTAGAGAGGGGAGATGGGGTAGAATGGGTGAAGTTGAATTAGTAGAGAATTTTAATAAAATTCAAATTGAAAAAAAATATATTGTAGCGATCATTTCCGCTGTCTCTCCTAGATTCAGAGATTTTTGTAGAGATATTTTTTATATTAACAATGCAACTAGGATTTATTCGACAGAAAAAAGACTCCAAATGTACATTTTAAACTTGATCATTTTGTCGAGTTTAGTTAGGGGAAACGGATGATTATTTGGAGGGCCGTTTCTACTTGCTTTAGTCAGACTGCGCGAGGAATTGATGCTTCGGGAACATGTGGCGTTCCAAAGAACTCATTTGCAGGTTCTTAGAGAGGGGAGATGGGGTAGAATGGGTGAAGTTGAATTAGTAGAGAATTTTAATAAAATTCAAATTGACAAAAAATATATTGTAGCGATCATTTTCGCTGTCTCTCCTAGATTCAGAGATTTTTGTAGAGATATTTTTTATATTAACAATGCAACTAGGATTTATTCGACAGAAAAAAGACTCGAAATGTACATTTTAAACTTGATCATTTTGTCGAGTTTAGTTAGGGGAAACGGATGATTATTTGGAGGAGGGCCGTTTCTACTTGCTTTAGTCAGACTGCGCCGTCACCAGCGGACACCCATCCAAGTACTGGGCAGACTGAACGCTGCTTAGCTTGGATGACCGCCGGAGCCATAGACTCCCCGCGTGACCACTACAGCCACTTATTACAAATATATGTAGTGGATAAAAAATGTATTTCAAATCCTCTAAAAACCTCGATTTTTTGGTTAAACTTGGTCATTTTATCGAGTTTAGGTTGGCGAAACGGATGATTATTGGGAGGAGGGCCGTTTCTACTTGCTCTAGTCAGACTGCGCGAGGAATCGAATTGAGCGATGCTTCGGGGACATGGCGGTTATAAACAACTTATTTATAGGTTTTTAAAGAGGAAAAATGGGGTAGAATGGGTGAAGTTGAATCGGTAGAGAATTGTAATAAGGCTCAAATTTTTTTGAAATGTAACGATTTTTTTTGCTACCTCTCTTAGATTCAGAGATATTTGTAAAGATATTTTTTTATATTAAAAATACAACTAGAATTTATTCGATATAAGGCCCTGTTGCACCAGCTCCGGGTAACGAAAACGGCTGATAAGAAAAAAAGTAAATTTGAATGTATTTCAATGGATTATTTTACCCGGGGGAGTATCTCAAATTTATCCCAGGACCAAAAAATAAAATTTAATCTCAAGGTTAAATCAGTGTTAATTCAAATGGGGCTACAGGATAAATAAAAAATTATTGTTCGGGTCAAATATTAAATAATTATGACCCCTACGACAATTGACCCCGAGGATAAATTTTATCCTGGGATTTATTTGGATAACAGGGCTTGGTGCAACCGGGCTTAAAACAGACTGGAAATGTTTATTTTGATTATATAAGTCAACTCCCTGTTTATCTATATCGATTGATTGCAAATCTATTGAGTCGCTAAAATAATGTATTTCAAATCTTTTAAGAATTCTGATTTTTTGATTAAACTTGGTCATTTTGTCGAGTTTTGTTTGGGGCAATGGCTGATTATTTCGAGGATGACCGTTTCTACTTGCTCTAGTCAGACTGCACGAGGAATTGAATTGGTTGATGCTTAGGGAACCAGTGGGGGTTGCAATAAACTCCGTTTATTCACATCGATTTATTGCAAATATACGTAGTCGATAAAATAATTTAGTTAGAATCTTCTAAAAATTTTGATTTTCTAATAAACTTGATCATTTTGTCAATTTTAATCTGGGAAAACGGATGATTATTTGAAGTAGGGCCGTTTCTACTTGTTCTAGTCAGACTGCGCGACAAATTGAATTCCTGGAAGCTTCGGGAACATGTGGGGGTTGCAAAGATCTTATTTACAGGTTTTTAAAAAGGAGAGACGAGGTAGAACGGGTGCAGTCGAATCAGAAGAAATTTTAAATGAGATTCTTTTTTTTTCAATATTGTAGCTCTTATTTTCGCTATCTCTTAGATTCCTAGATAATTGTAGATCATTAAGCCACGCATTGAACCCTTTTTTAACATTAACAATACAAAAACAGACTGAAAATGTACACTTGGAACAGCGGTGAGAAGCAATCAGATTAGGTATTGAAATAAATAAACTCCCTCGTTATCGATATCGATTGATTGCAAGTATATACAGCCTATGAAATAGATCGCTCCAGATTCTCAAAAAATCTTAATCTAGAAATTCAATGGATTCATCTCCTCGCTCAGACGTAATCCAATGATCCAAAAATCAGAAATATTTTTTTTTATTTGTGAGAAGAAGAAGAAATAATTTTTTAAATATGATGTTTTAGAAATTGAGAATTAGTAGAACGAGATAACCCCCAGCTGGTGATTTTAACGAGTTACCTGTGGTGATGACGTATGCAGCCTGGCTCGTGTTCGCACAGGCTCATCCTTCCGTCGTTGGCAAAGGGCTCCGGATCGTACCGTAAACCATCGACGAAAGTTGGAAACAGGGCACCTTTCCGCAGGGTTGCGGTTGGCTCTGCCAGAGCGAAACCAACTGGTCCACCAGATGAAAATATCGTTGGAGCACCTAGGGCTGTATCGCGGCAACGGCTGTACGAAAATTTAACGTCGTATTTACGGGGAATAGAAATGCCCATTGCGGAAGAGACTAAATCATTTTTTTTTTTCAAGTAATTGCAAGTGTTAATTATGTTAATGTTATAATTATATCACTTTTAATTAAGTGTTAATTACAAGTGTTATTCATCAGAAAAACTTGTTTTGATAGACTTAATTAATTACTCTACAATTAACAATTGAAAAAAAATAACTGCAGTCAACAATCGTGATTCTCATTTTGAAAATATGTTATTGAAAATTAAAATATCTTGGAAGGACTTGAAAATTAGTAAGAACTCTACCGAAACAGTATGTAGGGAATTTCATGACGAATGAAATGATTTTTGACTTGAGTCTTTACGACTTATGGTCGTCAAGATATCGACGTTTGAGTATTTGACGACAACTTTTAGTGCGCAGAAAACTCCATCAACGAACGTTCATATCTTGAGAACTACAACTCGCAGAGATTCAACTAAAAAATCGGCAAATTCAATATTAAATTTCCTACATTTTGTGTGTCGATGATCTCGACAAATTGTCAACACTTCCTCAAATATTTCACTTCCAATAAAATTGAATAAAAAGCACTTCAGCCCCAGTTTTACAGCTTCAGATAATCATCAGGCATGCTACAGTCAGGAAATGATCAGCATGTGTGACACAGCGCTCCAGGTCCCGCCATTTCACCCCAGAAATAAAAAAGAACATGTAAAAACCCCATAAACAAGAGTAAGCCGTAGTAACAGGACATTATTCATGAGAGTGAAAAAAAGAGGGATGAAAACTGGTGTGAACGTGTCGCGCCATGCATCACTACTTTTAATTAAAACGTAGAAAAATAATATAATTTTATTCATGAATTGAAACAGCTTTGATCAAGTTAGTAGGAAAAATGGTCAACAATTATCGAGCTCTTTGTTTTATGCTGGTGATGCCAACGGCGTGTTAAATATTTGCATGATGCCATGTAGATTAGATTAGGGGATGAGAATGCGTGGGAGACCACTGGTGTTACTGGTGTTAAATCCCCTACAAAAAAATTATGTAAATCAGGTCACTGTTGAAGCATAAAAATTGATTATTAAAGATAGAGCAATAGAGTTTCTCCAGTTATATCGGCGAAAACAAATAGATCTCGAGTTTTTGCTTGCGAATGGAAGCGTTGTATTCGTCAAATGTGAAATTTCCAATTTTTTACGTCAGGATAACTAATTTTGGCCCCAGAAGTTGGAATGTGCTATTTTCATCACGTGTGCTCAAAGGGAAATTTTACACATTGTAATGAAAAATGGGCTTCGACACTCGTGGGAAAAGTGTTCTTTGACCTGTAGGAGGGGAGCACTACGTACCCCCCACGCGTCAAAAAACACTTTTTCGCACTCGTATGGAATAGTACATTTCGATACTAGGGCGCATGAAAAATTTTCTGGCGAATGTGACTTTGCAGTACGAGCCGAAGGCGAGTGATGCAAATCATATGAGTCAGAAAATTTTTCTGCGCCCGTGTGTCGAACAATATTTTTCATCACGCTGTGACGAAAAGTGAACTTTTCGGCACGCTCCGCGTGCCTAAAAGTCCAATTTCCGCCACATTGTGATGAAAAATATTGTTCGTAACTCGTGAAAAAATGTTTTTTAGCTCGTGGGATTATATCACGAGCCGAAGGCTCGTGATATAAACCTCCCACTCGCCAAAAAACACTTTTTTGCACTCGTTACGAAATATACTATTTTGTCACGAGGGTCGTAGGCAATGTTTTAGGCGTGTGTCTGCGGCACGCCGCAGGCACACGCACCGAAAATGCTACCTTACGACGAGCGTGACAAAAATATACTATTTCATCGCAATGTGTGGAAAATGAATGTTAAAATTCCACTTTATGCAGAAAAATTAATACTGGCTGCCAACTTTTTAGGTAATGTTGGATGTCAACATGTTGACTGCAATGTTGACTGCTAAATTTCAGGTAATTTTGTATGCAATGTTGGCTGCCAACATTAGGGTTATATTGACTACCAACCTTGGCGCAATGTTGGCTACCAACATTAAGGTAATGTTGGTTGTCAATTTTAAGGTAATGTTGGATTCCAACGATGTGGTAATGTTGACTGCCAACTTTAAGATGATGTCAGATTCCAACATTGGGGTAATGTTGGCTGACAACTTTGAGGTAACTGGTTAACGTCATGTTGGTTGCCAGCTTCAAAGTAATATTGGATTCTAACGATGGGCCAATGTTGGCTGACAACTTTGAGGTAATGTTGTCTGCCAACTTTAAGGTAATACTGACTGCCAACTTTAAAGTAATGTCGGATTCCAACATTGAGGTAATGTTGGTTGCCGACTTTAATGTAATATTGGCTGCCAACATTGGGGCAATATTGGCTGTCAGTTTTAAGGTAATGTTGAATTCCAACGATGGAGCACTATCGGCTGCCGACGTTGGGGCAATGTTAAATTCAATACTTCATTAAATTGAATTCAAATCCGTCATAGAAATTCCATTCAACAGCAAATTGCTAATTTATTACCAAAAATATATTTACTACGCCGCCCCGAAAGCAATTTTCCACTGGTTATTATAGCTATGTGTCCCGAGACGTCTTCTACGCAGGAAGAAAATAGAGGTCGGGGGAATAGCCGAAGAAGTCATTGAAATGGAAGCCATCGAAACTGATATGGACTCCCCAGTGGTCCTGACTGCGATAACATTTGATAAAAAAAAATATATAAAGACTGGAGTGCTACGACCTACCGTTTATTCCGTCGTACACAGGCGACGCACAGGGCAGTTACTAGAGCCCCAACAAAAACCACACATCCCAACACGACTACTCCAACCTCAAGGGTAGACAGCAGATATCGACTACCTTGTCTCGAGGTATTTCTTGAAATCTCGAGGACACGGTACCTCTCCAGCTCCTCTCTTATTTCCGCTTTCTTCTTGCGGAATATACTGGGAGCAGCCAAGTGAGTGCATGTGAGATTAAGTTTATGGATATGAAAATGGAGGAATGATTTTTCATCTCGGGGAAATGTCGATGAGGAGATATTTACCTGTGAAGGGTGTCCATGTCGATCATGGAATTGAGATGGGGATCAACCGCGTAGAGGTACAAGTCAGTGCTGAAAATTGAATGCCGAATTACTTTGTGCGGGGTCAATGTGTATCTCGTTATTGTGTCAAATCTTTTCATTACTGCGATCGCATTATGCTCTATTGAATGATCATTTAATCCTATCTATAAAAGATCAAAGTTCGGCGAAGTTATTTCGCCGCGAAATATATCGAGACAGCCTGAATGAAAGAGGGAAGTTTCTCACAAATGAATGAAATGTCCTCCAATCTTCCTTAATCGTACACTTACGAGGTAGTGTCGATGAGATTTTTCTCAATATGTGGCTCCAACTTTCTCACCCTCACGTCCAGTCCCGTGACGTTCTGCAGTGCTCTAGAAACAGATATAAAAAAAAGCCATTGGCGAAGGGATTCTCGAGAAACGTTTAATCATTCTCGACTCAGCTGCAGGGAAGATAAACGAGGGAGAATTTCACGGACTGTGCACTCACCCAGTGATCTCCTCCACTTGATTCTCAATTTCCGTCGGCTTCGTGCCCATTACGAGGACCACCTGTTTATTGTCATCGACAACGTACACCTTAAATAATTGAAGAAAGTTAGTGTTGTTTCGGGAATTTAACTGTTCCTCCCTTTGACGAATGAAACTCACAAAAACGTTTGCTATACTGCTTCTTCCATTATCAGCGCCACGTCTGTCTGTAGCCTTGACATCAAACCCGAAAACCCTACCAGCATCCCTCGAAAAACTAGCTACAGATCGCACTTGACCACTAAGTGGGTCAATGGCGAAACGCGGTGAATTCTCTTGTCCAAGGATTTGGTATCTTATTTCACCATTTATTTCCTCATCAGGGTCGTCTGCCTGTGTAATGAATAATTCTTTCTGTAGTTTTCCCTCCATCGAAGGATATTTGTCATCATTTTTCGGTACAAAGTCTGATGGATTGCAATATTACACGGGGATGATTTTGCAAGAATCTCCAAAACTAATGGATTTGGATAATATACATTTTGTTAAGGACTAGAAAAACTAGTGTCTAAAATTTAGACACTTATCCCTTCTTTAAGAGGTATCGAATCAAGACATTGAGACATGCGTTTTTCAAACTTATGATGTATAATTTAGATCTCTCAATAAATTCAGAACTTCAATAAATTAGAGGAACGATATAAAGGATAAGATTCAATAAACTGGATAAGTCACCAAGAACGTCTTACGATTGCGTACCTTAAAAATTAAAACAGAATGTCTTAAATTTGATTGCTTGTATTTAAAGACACTATATAAATGTCGTGTCTATCAAACGTCTTGTTCTTAGACCAAAAAACAGCTTATTTCAAGACATTAAAATGTTCTCACATCTTTTTTGTGTCGAATGTATTTTTTTATATATTTATATTTCTTATACCTTTACATCAGCATTTATCCTTACACACTTTGCCTAAATTTGTGCCTTGAATTGAAATTTTCTTTATATCGATCCAACGACATACTTGAAACTTTTTATGTATTTCAATCTATCAACATAACACCCCACCCTTTATTATGCATAGACTTGATCATTTTTATTTTTCATACACTAGAACATGGCGTCCCCACATTTCGAACAGATTATATCTGAAATTGTTTATATGAGCCAAGATTGCTGTTTCGAAGTTGTACCTTATGAAGCAGATCGAATAACTAAAAAAAAAGTCATTTTCGTGTCTAATGTCTTGAATTAAGACGACTCGAAGACGTTAGTCCTTACAATGTAAACAAATAAACTCACCTCAACCTTGATAATCTCATGCCCATACTGAATATTCGCTGGAATAGCCGCCAGCAGCGGTCTCCCCTTGTTCCTGAACCTGGGTGCATTGTCATTAGCATCCTTAACCCTGACAACGATCTTCGCCTCGTTGATCCCTAGCCCCCCGAGCCTCTCCCCGCCAACCGGATAAATCATCACCGGCAAGCCCCTCCCACTCTTCCCCCAGTCCACCTTAACCCTGAACTGATAAGTATCCCTGAACTCCCTATCAACATTTCTCTTGAGCACCAGAGTCCCATTGTCGGGGTGAATTCCAAATAAGTCATGAATGTCCGAGTCATTCGAGACAATTCCGTATTTCATCCTCTCGTTCCAGTACATTTCCGATACATTGAGCTGGAGGAGCTTCAAGGGAACAACCGAATTCTCCTCGATCTCGACCTCGTAGTAACGATGCTGAAATACTGGTCTATCATATCCCGATTTGTCTTCCTTCTCCTCGACATCTAGGACTCGGACGTAGAGCATTGCTGTTGCTGTCAGACTAGGTGAGCCTAGATCCCGCGCAGTGATCGTGACGTTGTGAAGATTCTGACGCTCGTAATTAAGCTCGGAAATGGTCATGATCGTGCCATCCTTGCTGTCGATCTCGAAGAACTGCTTCTCGCCGATGCGACGGGGCAGATCAAACAGGATCAAACCATTTCCATTGCCCGCGAAGTCGCTGTCGTTAGCGTAGACTTTACTGATTATCGTCCCAGCCGGTGTGTCTTCCGTCACGGAGGCGTAGTACACCGGGATCATCTTCAAGCCGTTGTCCGTGTTCATGTCGGTGTAGCCGTGAAACTCTGGGGGATTGTCATTGCTGTCTAGGACATTGATTTCAACGTCGACTGTTGAACTCTGCGGGGGACTTCCGTTATCGCGAGCTGTTACCGTTAACTGATAAGTGTCTTTGATCTCGCGATCCAAATCGCCAGTTATCATTAGAACTCCGCTGGCCTCACCGATTTCGAAGATCAAGCTTGGCGAGGAGTTCTTCGGCGATGATAAGGCATAAGTGATTCTCGCATTGTCACCAGTATCAGCATCAACAGCTGTTATCTTTCCTATGATATGCCTCGTGTAAACTCCCTCAGGCACGTCAAATGCATACCACGATTTATTGAACACCGGGGCGTGATCGTTCATGTCGATGATCATCATTTTTACAGAGACAGTGTCATTCAGATTGCCACCGTCCCTAGCTACAATACTCAGATGTATTTCATCCCCTGCCGGCAACAATCGGGCAATTGATAGTTCACCCGTCCTTGGGCTGATGATGAAATGCGGCTTGGAATCGAAATTCGATTGGGGGGGTGGGTAGATTGTCTCGTTGACGATGCCGTATGTTATCTCGGCATTGTCGTTGGTGTCCTTGTCGCTGGCCACCAGGCGAATTATCACACTGCCTATCGTGACGTTTTCAGGGATGAGGAGAAGTGGTGAGTTATGCGAGCTTTTGTCCTTCGATTTTTCAGGGGTTTCTTTTGATACGACGATACCTTGATCCGGGGATACTATCATCTGCGTGAATTGCGGGGGATTGTCATTCACGTCGGTTATTTTTAGGATCAGCGATGCTGTGGACTTGGGGTTTACTGGAGATTAAAGTAAAGAAAGAGAAAATTAGAAGATGGCGAATCAAATTGAAAGGTAAAATAAGGGAAACGTCAAAATTCAATCAATTCCCCGAGTCGAGGATTTGGTTCTGATTGGACGTACACAGGTCTTTCAAGATCTCTTCAGACCTAGATGGACCTGGTAAGTCCTAATCAGTTCTGCGACGTACTTTTCCAGAGACCTTTCGAATCCTCAGTTCTTTTCGGTCCTGAGAAGTCCTCGATGCTACCGAGAACGCGTGATTTTACGAGCGGGTGAAGGGGAAGGCATGTATGCGGAGGGTTGAAATTTGTAGCCAACGAGGAGACAGGGTCGCAGAATATATTTTAGCCACCATCTCCCCGTTTGCAGGCGGTGTTTAAATAAAAAATAGTGAACGTTGATTCTGTATTTATTGACCCCCTGATGCCAATGAAACCCTCGGAGGTGACAGAAAAGGGGAAAAAAATTTTTCATTTTCACGTGGGTCAAGGGTGAAAGTCGATTTTCGCCAAAATTGAATTTTTTCGCCAAGTGAAAGTTGATTCTGTATTTTCTAANAGTGAAAACTAAAAAAAATTGTTTTTCACCCGGAGCCAAAGGGTTAGATTTTCGGTTTCGCCAGGGGGAAAGTCGACTTTCGCAAAAATTGAATTTTTCAGCCGGGTGCGCGTTGATTCCAACTATTTGAGGGCCGGGCTAGTTAAAACTGTCAAAAGTATGTGGAAAAAGTGAAAACTGAGAAACTGTTTTTTTTGGCCCCAGCCAAAGGGTCAGATTTTCGGGTTTTCCGGGGCAAGTGGATTTTCGCCAAAAGTGATTTTTTTAGCCGGGTGAACGTTGATATCAACTATTTAAGCGACGGGCTATTCAGAACTATCAAAAGTGTGTGGAAAAAGTGAAAAATGAAAAACATTTTTTTTCACCGGAGACCAAAGTGTCGGATCTTGGATTTTTTGCCAAAATCGAATTTTCTAGCCGGGTGAACGTTGATTCCAACTATTTAAGCGACGGGCTATTCAGAACTATCAAAAGTATGTGGAAAAAGTGAAAAATGAAAAAAAAATTTTTTCACCGGAGGCCAAAGTGTCGGATCTTGGATTTTTCCGGGGGGAAAGTTGAGAAAGTCGGTCCAAGGGTCAAAGTGTCAGATCTTGGATTTTTTGCCAAAATCGAATTTTCTAGCCGGGTGAACGTTGATTCCAACTATTTAAGCGCCGGGCTAGTCAGAACTGTCAAAAGTATGTGGAAAAAGTGAAAACTGAGAAACCGTTTTTTTTGGCCCCAGCCAAAGGGTCAGATTTTCGGGTTTTCCGGGGCAAGTGGTTTTTCGCCAAAATCGAATTTTTTAGCCGGGTGAACGTTGATTCCAACTATTTAAGCGACGGGCTATTCAGAACTATCAAAAGTATGTGGAAAAAGTGAAAAATGAAAAAAAAAATTTTTCACCGGGGTCCACGGGGTCAGATTTTGGGTTTTTACTTGGAACAATGGTCAGATTTGTTAACACTTTTATTTTTTATTTGGATAATGCATGCAAGCGTAGGGATAAGAGTGGCGAGAATAGATTCTGCAACCTTCTCCCCTTGTTGGGTAAAAATGTCAAGCCTCCACATACATGCATCTCCCCTCCACCCTCTCGTGAAATGTCGATTTTCGAGATTAAAAAAAAAACAATAATTGCATTTTTTATTTCAATAACGCATGAGTAAACAGGGATATGAACGCAGATTTAATATAAGTCCATAGAATTACGGGGACCGGCAAGGATTTGGAAAGTCTGAATACAAGTCCTGCTTACACCTAACAAGTGCTGAAATGGGACATAACCAGAGGTAGAAAGGTCTCGGAAGCACTTGGGAAGAGGCTTCCCAAGACCTATCCAGTTCTGAACGGAAAGACCTAAGTAGAACTTGTCAGGTCCAATTATTCGACTCGGGTCTATATGAAAATGAGAAGGTCGTGAACGTTAAACGGAAGAGATGTGCAGGTTAATAAGAAGGGTCAAATATTCTTAAGATTATTTTACGATTTGTGCTTCGATCTTTCAAGGATTTCTTTAGATACGACGATACTTTGATTCGGGGATACTATCATCTGCGTGAATTGCAGGGGATTGTCATTCACGTCGGTTATTTTTACGGTCAGAGATGCTGTGGATTTGCTGTTTACTGGGGATTAAAATGAAGAAAGAGGAAATTAGAAGATGGTGAATCGAATTGAAAGGTAAAAGGATGGAACAGTCAAAATTCAATCGCTTCTAAGTGAAAGTGTGAAGGCCATAATGATTAAACGGAAGATATGTGCAGGTTAATAAGGATCAACTATTCTCAAGATTATTTTACGATTTGTGCTTCGATCTTTCAAGGATTTCTTTAGATACGACGATACTTAGATCCGGGGATACTATCATCTGCGTGAATTGCAGGGGATTGTCATTCACGTCAGTTATTTTTAGAGTCAGAGATGCTGTGGACTTGAGGTTTACTGGGAATTAAAGTAAAGAAAGAGAAAATTAGAAGATGGCGAATCAAACTGAAAGGTAAAATGAGGGAAAAGTCAAAATTCAATCGCTTCTAAGTGACGGTGTGAAGGCCATGATGGTTAAACAGAAGAGCTGTGCAGGTTAATATGAAGGGTTAAATATTCTTTAAGAACTGCGATACCTTGATCCGGGGATACTATCAACTTGAGACTTTTGAAAGTCTCAGCTTGAAGCTGTTAAGTCTCAACTTGGGGCTTTCGAAAGGCTCAACTTGAGATCATCACTCTCAGAATAAAACTTATTTTTTTATATTAAACAGAAGGGATGTGCAGGTTAAGAAGGGCCAAACATTCGCAAGACTTCATTTCGCAGAAATAGTCGAATCGACTCGCCCTCATATCCGACTATTTCATGCCCACTGGATCATGAAGATATAAAACATTCCAGGAATACTACGTGCAGCAACTGAACCGATATCCCACTATTAGCGGCAACTCGTGATTTTCAACGGTCCTGCAACACCGCCGACTATTGCCCAACTATTATCACTGGAAGCTTTAGAATTCACTTGTTGATGGTGATAATAATCAAACCAGTTTTCGTGAATTCTCAAGTTACCAATGAATATTATCGTTGAAAAATCAAATTGCGTGGTGAATGCGACCCAGTCCAGATCATTAACCACTGTCACAGTGATTTCATTCGTATGATAATGAGCAATAAACTGAGGCTGCCCCCCCCCTATAATTCACGTCACAAAGAATTTTTCTGGTGAAGGTAAAGCCCAATCGGTTACGCCGCACTGATCTGGACAGTCGCTTTTACGCAATCGACTGTCATTAGTTCGATGAACGCGACGGGATGAAAAAATTAGAGACAAGAAATGAATAAGTGATAAACAAATGACGTAACTATTGGCTATCGGCTGTTTCCTCGAGTGAAACTTCTTTCTCAAGAAATTGTTCAATTAAAAATGTTGAGATACTTTTACTCACCGTCGTCGGTGGCGATAATACTCAAATTGTAGACGGACTTCTCCTCTCTGTCCAGAATACTGTCGCCCTTACCACCGAAGAAGACCCTTCCAGTGGTGCGATCGATGGTAAAGAGTTCGCTTCCTTCACCGTTGAGCTGCAGACTGAACTTCCGGTTTAGGCGGTCGTCGGCATCGTGCGTAGATATTCGATTGTTTAGGATCACTTCCGCTCCCGGAGGACTGTTCTCCTGAATCTGACCTTGGTATGAGGGCAGGTTGAAGAGTGGGGGGTTGTCGTTGACGTCGTCGATGACGACAGTCACCTAGAGCCGTTGAAGATGACTTCATGTAGAAACTTGGCTTTAAAAAATTACCTATTCATCATCTGTTGCTCCGAATCCTTGGAATTTTAATATTTTGCGGATACTCGACACAGAGTTTATTAGAGTTTATTGTGACTATGTACTAGATTTATCAAGAGCCTGAGAAACGTCACGATTTGGCAATAAAATAGTATTGTTCAAACTTCTCCAATACCCCTCATTTATTCCATCATTTCCTCATCTTTAAATTCTTGAGTGTATTCTTTGACCGATGAGTTAATGAGCAATTTGGCTGACCGCACAGGCCACCACCCAATTGTTCATTGCCTCCTCTTTGAAAAAGGTCTTCTGATGCTGTCTCCTAAAGCCCCGTCTTAACAAGATAAATCCATCATCAACGAAGAAGTCTCGATAACTTGGAATCGCCAAAGCGTTACAGAATTATGATCGAGATACTTCGCAGATAGTGAAAGTATCAAATATAATCTTGATTATCGATCTCTACTACCCACTTGAAATATCCCAAGTCCTCTCGTTGTCTCAGCAATTACAGTGATGCTGTAATTCTGTCTGGTTTCACGGTCGAGACCCCTCACTGTGTAGAGGTCACCGTCCTCGGTTATAGCGATATCGGATACATCGCGCTGATTGGCGATAAGAAAACGCACATTGGAAGTTGTCTTCGTGTTATTACGAGGGAGTACTTGTCCGATGAAGGCACCCGCTTGGTTCTCATTCACGTGGAATAGGAGGGGCGCTCTTGTTGTTCCTCTGGAAGAATTTCAAACAATGATTGAAATGAAGGAGTATGAATTAGTTCGGAACTCCGCCTGCTGTAAAGCAAGCTTTCTTCCAAAACTGATCAATTCGTGGAGCTAAAACGAACGGACAAACTTCCACCCTTAGTCAGAATTTGGGAATGAGAGGAGACCACAGTATCATCAAACACACTTCCCCGATATCTGCGAGACCTTCAAATCGATTCTCCGCACGAACTGCAACCTCAAGCACTCCCAAACTTCTCCAATCCATTACGCTGCCCATTCAATAGTATAAATCGTACTCCTTCCGCATATCTGTTATTACTCCATCGGTCAACTTTTTCCACTTTCGATATGTGGAGTTTCACTTTTCACCACGCATGCGTTAAATGTCGTTATTACATGTGTCGTTAGACTGAATCGGAGAAATTTTCTCGAGTTTACGGAGACGTAACTGGGTTTGGTATGTTTCATTGTTGTGAGATTTTTACGACTATGAAAACTAGTGTCTGAAATTAAGACATTAAGACATGCATTCTTCTAAAAAAGTCTCGTTTCAAGACATTCGAGATTCCAGTCGTCGCAAAGTTAGTTGATAAGTCTTGAATCAAGACGTCTTGACGACACTATTTACTACAGTAAAGTCCGAGAAATTTTTACAGACTAACTAATGACTATATGAAGGATAAATCCAAGTGAACTTACTTAGTGAACAACTCCCTCTCATCATTGGGATCAACGACGTGAACCGAGACATTTGTGACAAGCATGAGATCCTTATCATTCGTAACAATCCCCTCAAAATCGTAGGATCTTCTCACGTATCTATCGATACCGTCTATCACCGTTATCGTACCAGTCTGCTCCTCCACGGCAAATGGAACTGTAACGCATTCAATTTGGCGCATCAACTCTCCCTTCTACCGTAAGACTGTTCTTTTCGGGAAATCTACTCACCGCCCTCGCGATAGCTGTGAAGGAGATCATAGATGATATCGCGTTTCTTCTCCGCTGCATTGTTGATACGAATCTGTCCGACACTTGTGCCAATCGGAACATTAGCACCTACCCAGAATTCATAAGGGGCACCCACGAAGTCGGGTAATGATTGCTTGTTAGCTAGTGGTTACAAAAAAACATCATCAACACTGTAGAACATCTAATCACATTTTTTTCCTACTTTGTTGTTCAAAGACTTGGATTTGTCTGTAGTCTTTTGGATTTATTTACAATATCAGCAATGTTCTCTCAATCTTAATCTAAATATTTCTAATTCCCTTGTTCATCATCAGTCTGGTATCTGATTTCCCTCATAGTATATTGCTTTTCCTCATGTTTATAATTAGCCCTGAGATAGGTGTCTGTTACTCGGTAATCAGTGTAAGAGAAAAACCTCAATTGACTCGACCATAAAAATTTCTTCAACCTTACCATCACCCTGAAGCACATCCACCGTAACGACAGCAAGTGAGAATCTCCTTTCACTCGGATTAGCCGGTTGATCCGTAGCCTCGACAAATATCGCATGTCTACCAACAATTATCGGTCTCTCTCCTACCGTGACAACACCAGTGCGCGAATCAACTGTGAAAGGTACACGCACAGCTGTACTATTATTCCCAGCTCTCTGTAATCCATATCTAACAACACCATTTCTCCCCAGATCACTGTCAATGGCCTTAACTTGGCCGAGAACAGTTCCAACTTCAGCATCACTCTTAGTCACGAACTCGTAGACATTTGAAGGTACGAACGTTGGATTGTTGTCATTGGCGTCTAGAAGAGTGATTTCTACGGGAACTGAGGAGCTTCCGTTGGAGGACGCGATGACACTCGGCCTCTTCTCAACCGCGATCACCTTCATCTGGAGGAAAGAAATGCGCTCTCGGTCCAGTACTCTCTCGTCCCTCACAGTCAGCCAGCCGCTCTTCTCGTCAACTAAGAAGGCGCCAGAAGGATCCAACAACTGATACGTGAAGTCCGCGTTGTCCCCCTGGTCCAGGTCGTGCGCCACCACCTGCAGGACACTGAAGCCGTTGGGGAGGTTCTCTACAATGCTGATGTTGTAGTGGTCAACCTCGAACTCTGGAAGATTGTCGTTCAAATCCAAGATCTCCACCTCCACTCGGGCGGTTGAATACTTCAGAGGATTGTCCACTTGGGTCGCGTGCAGCTGGAGGTAGAACGTGTTGTTGGAGAGGGCTCGTTCGGTGTCCAGGTCGATAGGCTGATTCAGGAAGAGGGAACCGTTTCTCGGGTCGATCTGGAAGACGCTGCGCTCATTGCCGGAGGAGATGGAGTACTTCACGGGGGTGTTTATGGAGGAGTCTTGGTCCATCGCGTGGATCGGGGGGGTGAAATAGATCTCCTTGTGAATGGGAGGTTTCTGGAATTTCCGACATTTCATTTTCATTTTCATTTCATGAAGACCTAACAGCAGAAAGCCGATTAGAGAACCAAATTTGATCAGATTAAATATATCTTTAAAAAAATTGGTCTGAATCAAGTCGAAAAATCGGTTAGAATCAAGCAACAGGACGAAAAAATTATCACTGTAAAAAGTAACTCTAATTTTTACATCGTTTTATCACACTCATGCAACTCGAATTTATGTTTATTGTCATTCAATATGAATTGATACGAATGTGCTATAATTTTCGAACGTCAGTCAAAAATTACTATTCTGTGTGCAGATAATCATGGAGATCCTAATTTTTGCCGACAAGTTCACTAATCTTCGAGTACCGAGTCTGAATATTCCACTCGCGTACCTTGAATTGTCGCTGATTAAGAGTGAGGACCAAGTGCCATAGGAATGATTTCCTGATGAGAAGATTTTTGAGTAATATTGCAAATGAAAGCTCTAAAATCATCACACTTTAAGTGTACAATGATATGTGAAATAATATATTTCACCATAATATTATAGCAGGATCCTGAATTTTCGTGCATTCCTTTTTCATAAAGTTGATTGATAATGAATGATTGTTTTGATTGTTAACTTTCTATTCGCCTTGTGATTGGTTGATGGATCAATCAATGATTTCCATGACTACGAGGATGTTATTGTGCATTACAGCGCTCACCTGAAGGTAGTCCCGCGCGACAGCGCGCATGATTGTCTAGTAGTGCCATAAAAATGAATTCGTGTATTGAAAATTCTGATACAGCCCACTAAAGAGCAATGCTCAAAATTTGGGATTCAGTACCCTAACAACATTGTTATGAATTATTCATGAAATTTTTGAACTAGAAGATAACTGCAATCTGTGGGTGCCAATTGAGTTAACCTTACGTGCCTGATTCTATAAGATGATTAAAAAAATTATCCAAATGTCCAATAAGATAGATCGAAATAAATGGTACTATAATAAATTATTGCAAGATGTAAGAAAGGAAAAATACGTTGCATTCATGCGTATTGCATAGACTTAGTGAATAATCATGAATCATGACTTTGATCATTAATTCCAATGCAAAATACTCATGACATTCGGAGGAGATCACGAACATGAACACATGAATGAAATCAACTAATAAATTTGCCGAACCTAATGATGAAAAATGATTTATGCGGCATTATATAATCATTTAACCACTGCATCACTGCGACAATTTCATTGACTCCATAAAAACCTTTTCCAATCATTGATTAATTCTGAAGGGAGAAAACCTTTTACTACCGGCGCCTGCAAGTCGTTCCGGACGATCGTAAAGTTAAATAAGAGGGGGTGAAAAACGATGAAAACTCACCGGAAATGGAAAGGACTCGTAGATCCTGGCTCTGTATGTGGTCTGGGTGAATTTAGGCCCAAGGTCATCATTGTCGACTACGTTGACTGTGACGGTTGTGCTTACACTTCGGGCGGGGGTGCCACGGTCCTGGGGAAAATTGATTGTTTCTGGGTGTCAGCTTCAGGTTTGCAATGCTCGTACGGATGAAAGGAACGAGTGAATTTCATTTCGGTCCAATGAATCTTCATTAGTCTTACCGTTGCCGTTATCACCAGGGAGAACTGTCGATCACCTGTGTCGTAATCCAGGGGCTTGCGGAGGATCAGGGCGGTCCGGTGGCCGGATTCCAGGGAGAATTTTCCTGCCTCGTTGCCCTTCACTATTGCGTAGTGAACGTCACTGTTTGGTGTGTTTGGCTTGTCGCCGTCGAAGGCGTGAATTCCACGGAATATCGTCATTCCTGAAGTGATTGGGGACGTAATGATCATTTGTTTAGTTTCTTTCTATGAGATTAGAAAGGGATCGCGCTAATTTAAATTAGTGGCTTATTGTATGTCTTATTTATTCTCCATTCTTTTTCCGCTCCACTTTCATTTATTGTGAGCCTCCAGAGTAAATTTTCTTTTCATTGTTTTTATTTCATTGTTTTTTAATTTTTATTATTATTTTCACTTCTCTGATGTTCCTTGCATCAGTATCTACTTGTTTTTTGCTTTATTGTATTTCATTGTGTGTACACTGTTAGAAATTTTTCGAAATTTCGTGGAAAATATGGTAGTAATCCTCTTGAGAGTGACATTGCATCCGATTTAGAAGAAAAATGTTTATGAACTTTCAAGTTTTAGGTCAAATTCAAAGAAATTCATGAGTTTTCAGTGGGAGTCGGATAGGAATTTCACAATTTAATTGAATTTTCAATTTTTTCCTAAATTTTCCTGATTTTTCCGAATTACCGTGGGATAATTGAACTGAAAAATCAAGTATCTTATTGAGTTTGTGATCATTCGAACAGAAAATGAATGGAATATTTGATCTTTCAATGACAAGATTTTCTGAAATTTCAGTGGAAATTAAGCGTGATAAAAATTTCCGGGATTTAACAGGGAAAATTCAGACAAAAATTTTTAACAGTGTAGTTCTGCTCAAGTTACTTACAGTAATTCCATGCTTTCACCTTTTTTATTTCTGTTTCCTGCGTACGACTTACATCATTGTTTACTTTGTACAACATAATGCACAGTTAATAAACATCTGCGGCGAATGGCGAATGGCCACTTAGAAAGCGCATGATCAAATGTGAATAACAAAAAGACAGACATTTAAGTGATGACAAAATTAAGAGTTTTGCTTAAGAAATGAAATTTTTATGATCTTCTTTTCGTACTAAAAATCCTGATAAAAAATTCATTTGTCATTGAAATGATTTTTCAAAAAGTCCAGTCGTCATAAATTGAATCTATTCATCTGAATTTGAATGATTGAGACGAATTGGAGCAAGCATAATTCACCCCGATTTCATCAACAGAACGAATTGAACCCGGGGATTTATCCAAGCCCGAGAGTTATGGAGACTCCTTAATGCTATCTTATCTAGCAGGATCACGTATAACGTGTCCCGAAACAATGGGAAGAATGGAAATTGTATGCAGTAGTTTGATGGCTCTTACCGGGTGGAGTGAATTCCTCAACTGTCACGTGATACGGTGAACCGATGAACTGGGGGGCATGATCGTTTATGTCCTCCACGTACACCGTCACCGATAGGTGCGATGATGTCTGAAGAAAAAAATCAAACGATTTATTCCTCTACTCTCTTGATTTGCATGCACAGCCGAAAACCCAGTGTCTGAGAAATTGAATTAGTCATCGAGAAATATCTTCGAATCTAAGGGATACAGCATATTTTTCGTTAAAATCTTTTTTCTAGAGTGAAAAAAGGGCTACAAAAAACGTTATGACGAAAATTTCGCTATCTGCAGCAGATTCCGAGATATTCACTGAAAACTGACTATTAGTCGAAGTCGATAAAACTTAAGCCGTTGGCAGTGTCTATTCATACGCTCCACACGTTAACTTTGACCGTGGATGTACGGGACGTTTTCCCGTGGATTCACGGTAATATTTACCGTGGAGCGTGCGAATAGACACTGCTTAAACCGTTTTACCGCTTCGCTACAGATTTTAAGATATTCTAAATTCATTAATATCTTGAATTAAGACGTCGTAAAGGCATTCGTTTACACCGTACGTATGCGGCCAACTCCGCAATTAAATACCCAATGCTCTCTCCAACTCTATCCATCAATAAAACAATTTGTCTAATTAATATAATGATACCGTTTACTCCGCAACCGAGAAAATTCCCCTTAATCATAAATGGAAATGACCGTTACGAATGGAAACAACTTCTCCCGCTGTTTCTCCTCCCTCATTTCCTCTTCCAATGCAGCAGGAAACCGAAGCCTAAACTGAACTTCACAGGATGATGGCTCGAGCTGCTACGCTCAAGTTGTTTGTATTTTTTCTTCATCTTTACAATATAATTCTTCATCACTGTTCTCTCGACTCACTTCTCCTCCTCCCCCCCCCCCCCCCCCCCCCNCCCCCCCCCCCCCTCCCGCGAACCACTCTCTCATATACCGCGTGTGCGATCGTAATACAGCCGTCACGTTTGTGCTTTCGCTGGAAAGTACCTCATACTTTTTTTCGCTCTTGGCCGCAGCTAAGTGCAGAAAGTAAATACAGAGATGAGTGGATAGTCGTACAAACAAGGCCAATTGCCGAAGAATTGAGCTCAAATTTCACGCCCCGCATGGACGTGCATCCATCGCGAAACGATTATTTCACCTGTAAACGTCTTAAAAATGTACTATACCCTTTCGGCCAAAACCTATCAAGCACCATTAATTAAAATTGAATTCATCGATTAGTTTTTTTAATTTCTAATTTTTTCGAAAATCGGTTGGCCCACGATAACTAAAAAAATGTTCTGAATTGATTGAATGATGGCGTAAAAATTTGTTTGGGTGTCCTTTTGACTGAGTTCGAAGATGAAGGCGATAGCACTAATCATTATTTTGATTTATTTGAAAATTTGCAAAAATTTTGTATTTTTTGAAAATCAGAATTCCGGGGATATCTTTGAATATCATACTTCAAATGAATTCAATCATAGCTTAAAATGTTTGTTTTAGTGTCATTTAGTCGAAGTTAAAAGATGATTACGATAGCTATATTGTTTGATTTGATTTTTATGATGATTGTTGAAAATTTCGAATTTTTCATGAATTTCCCTGAAAGTGAGCTTTCTGATGGTTTCTTCAAATGTGATGTTTCAAATTCATTCAAGTATGTGTAAATAAAATTTTTCTATTAACATTTTATCGAAGGGCTGAGGGGAGAGTTAGAACCGTAAAAAACAATCGGTCGTCCAGAAGAAAGGGATAATAAGAATAATGATGATGATAACATTGAACTAAGTTGAAAATCTGACAAAATTAGTTAGAAGAAATGTTATTCAATGTAATAAGATGAAATGAGCAATGAATTATACATTATAGAAGTTAAATTATTAGCAAAAATATATCAACTGTTGTGACGAAAGCAATTTCCCCAATTGTTTAGCGTTACAACGAAATCATGGGTCAAAAAGCCATTGCATTGAATTGAGTTATCCTGTTGAGTGTCAGCTTTTGTTTTTCGTCTGTTAGTCTGTCCAATAGTCGTTACTCACGGAAAATGAGTTCATCGCTCTGTCTCGATCGGTCCACGTCCGTTCGTACGCCCGCCCATCCGTGAAATAGCCTCGCCAGCTGAGACCCTTAATTTTTTTTTTGATTCAAGTTATATAGATCTGAATTGCGAGTGCAATGCACAGGGACAGAATTCGGGGGACAATGTTGGACTCACCAGAGAGTTGACGCCGTCTGAGTAGTCACAGACGAATCGAAACTTCAAGAGGTTGCGGGGTGTCTCAGAGTCCACCAGGTCCTCCAGTGATTGGGACAGTATCACAGATATGTGGGTGGAGTTCACGTCTTTGTAGGTGAAATATCTCGCATCCTCCTCCTGTCTCGTAGAGAAAAGTTTCAATTTTTTTTTTAAATTTGGATTAATTCGTTTTTTAATTCATTTTTTATGTTATATGTTCCTCCCTTTTCTCTGGTTTTGGGACAGCAACAATTACATGTCAAAAATGATCAACAAAATTAATGAATGGATGAATGATTAATAAAAAAAAATAGACTAAGATGAAATGATGAAAAATTTTGTCATTGAGAATTCGTAATTTTATGGAAAAATCTATGGACACTGTCAGCTTTAGTTCAATTAGTCCCTCATGAAAATTAATATGAATTTTTAAAATAAAATTCAGATAAATAATATATTTTCAAATTTTTAATCAATTGAAAAATCAAGTAATTTGGGGAATTCTTGTGCTCCTGCTATCGAAAGAAATGGAATTTCATTGAACTTTCAGTGAAATTTGGAATTTCATCTTAATATTGTCTTTGCAATTGAAAAAAAAATTTAATTTGAAAATTCAAGCAACAATTGTTGCTTGAATGTTCAAATTATTTAATCATTTTCATTATTACGTGGACCTGAAAATTGCAAATTCCTTTGAATACTCCAGAAATCAACTGATTTTCAATAACAAAATACATGAAAATGTCGTGTGAATGAGTAATTGTTAAAAATTTCAAGATTTTTTTCTTGTAATTTCAGGAGTTATGTTCTAACAGTCTGGGACTTCTCGATTATAGATAATTCACCGACCTTATCAACGGGCATTATCGTCAAGTGACTGCGAGGATGAACCTCCAGGGATAATACTTCCGCCCCAAGTGGCAGATTCTCCGGAACCCTCACGAACTTCAAGTACTCGCCGACTGGATAAAACTGACATGCTGCACAGATATTTATTCTCATTGAATCCAACTATCAACTCACAACTTGATCATTATCTCAATCCACTAAAATCAATAGTCACCCATTTTATTATTCGCGAATTGAAGAAATGAAAAATCTGAATAATTAAAATTTTGATTTTTCAAATTGATTCGTGTAATTACTCTGCGGCACTAATTTCCACAATTAATATAAAAACCATAATGATCAATTAGCTGCCGGCCCCAGGGATGAGTGTCGAAGCTATTCAACCGGATAATTCGGGTACCGTTGGCTTTCGCACGGTCAGCCTACCCGCGTGAAGGCATTGTGGGTTATTTACGATTAGATTGCTGACAAAGAAACAAGATGCCTCGTTTAAAAAGTTCCGGACTTTTTTCCTCCACTTGCGGTAGAAAACACCCGATGATTTATAAGATCATTAATCACTTTCATGACCCATCCACTCGTCATTTTAACTTTTCACTAAAATTGATATCAACATGTTGATGAAAATCAATAGAAAACTTCCACTTCAAGTTAAAATGGGATTACGATTAAGATTAATTGGAAGCTTGCAATTAAGATCAACCATAAGCGGGCGTTTAAGGTCACTGGAAAGCTTTTGGTGATTATTTATACAGAACTGTTTTAAATAATAATGTACAGCTTTTAATTGAAGATGAACAGAAGCCTTTAATTGAGCTTAATATCAAAATTTTGATGAAGATTAATATTAAACTTCAAATTCACGATAAAATAAGCTTTTGATTGAGATCAGTAGAAAGCTTTTAATGCAGATTCGTATAGCACTGCTATTAATAATAATGAAAGCATTCAATTGACGATGAGCAGAAGCTGTTAATTAAGATTAATATCAAGATTTTAATGAAGATCAATGTAAAGCGTTCAATTTAAATTAATCAAGCTTAATACAATAATCTCAATTCGGATTGATAACAAGCATTCAAATAAAGTCGATATAAAGCTCTAAACGAAAATACTCAAAAAAAACAAATAACTCATAAAATCCTCAATCCCTTTCATGACTCGTTCGGGCTCAATTTTTCGATAAAAAAAATTCTCGTCAAATTTGTTGCGTGATTTCATTACTCCGCCCTCGAAACAAAATAGAGAGGTTACGCCGAGCGTCTGATAATATCTCCATTCAATTTATTCTCATCAAAGAAAAAAAAAGTTGACTATGACCCAAAGAAACGGATGCGTCTGGGGCGAAACCAAAACCCGGAAATTTTCCTTTTTGACTTTTCTGGAAAATTCAATCTCTCGTTCCCCTTTACTCCTCCATTGTTTTCTCTCTTCCTTGCTCTCTTTTTTTCACACTCTATCTTACCTCCGGTTCCTTTGTACGATTTTATTTTATTTGATATTTTTTTATTTTCTCTGTTTCTTCTCTATCTGTTTTTTTTTGTTCTAGCCATTTTCTTCTCTCGTTTTCAGAGAAGGCTGGAGCCTAATAATTGCCACTGGCGACTGCCAACCGCCCCAACGCAGTTTAATCATCGCGAGTAATAAAGAAACTCATGGAGTTTTATTTGGAGTTAAATGCACCTCGCGCATCTGACGTTTTTTGCTTGTTCCATTGTTTTTAGTGTGAAAGGCAGCAGGTGTTTAATTCTTTTCTCGGTGCTTTATGGTGATTATCGAGGAGGTGGGGTATTCGATATAATTTTATTTGGAATCACGTCGTAACAGAAGTTAATAGTTCTTTGACTTTGATTAATTCAATAATAAATAATTTAACAATTCTCGTCGATTCAACCCTAATTGTTCCTTTTTTTTTAAATTGCTCATATATTTTTTTTTGTTTTTAAATGGATACAATTGACAATTTTTTCATTCATCATAGACTTTGATCATTTGATTAATTTCAATTCGTTGCATTTTCCTCCTTTTATTACATAAAATGGCATAAAAAGGTTTTTAGAAAAATGGTTTCTCAAAACGATATAACGCGTTATTTTTTATCTTATTCAATTCCAACAAAATTTCCACATTTTCCCCTAGATTTTGTGTCATAATCCCCTCGACACCGCCATCCCCCATTTCCGTACCACCCTCTGCATCTCTCGAATCGAAAAAAAAAAAACGAAACACGACTCAACAAACTACAGATTTATCGCATTTTATTTCACTCGTAATAACGTTTGGAAATTTTTCGAGGGATTTTTCCATCGAAAACTGTGTCAAGGTCAGTATCACTCGTTTTTTTCCCCCTCAAACATTCTCCGTAAAGGCTGAGATAGGGGCGGCTGGACAGGTTGAGCGCCGCCGTGGCGCGCATAAAACCCTACGATGCATCGACGAACGTGTCTGGTCCGATTTTCACTGGTCGAAAACTCCATTCTTCTTTTTCTTGTATTTTTATCTCTTTGTGGAGAGGGGGAGGCTTTTCTCTCGTGTCTGGGTATTTCATTTTTTTCGTCCAACGGAGGGAGATGATAGGACGGACCAATGGATGGAAACTGGCGACGATTTTCGATACAATCTGTTCACTCTCTTGGAAATTCTAGCTATTGAATGTTTTTTTTCTTTTTATTCTTCGTTAAATTTCAATTTCGATATTTCTGAATTCAATTCCTTTCCCATTTTCTTGTTTTTTTAATGCTGAAGGCAAGTCTCTTTCGTTGTTACATGATTTTTTTTCTCAATTATTTTTCATCTGCATGGACAAAAAAAATTACCTGAATTGAGTATAAAATATACTTGAATGAAGTATATTTTATACTCAATTGGGAGACGGGTATTTCAATCAGGGATAGCCAAATTTGTAATATTTTATTACGATTAATATTGTAACCCTTAATTAGATAACATCACTCATGAAATTTTTTGAGTACTTAAGTATCATCAATTCAAATATTCAAATTTTCAACTATTTTCATCAATGATTTAAGGTAGGATGATCGACGATTACTTGTGTAATCGAAAATCCCCTTTCAAGAAATTCGAATTATTCACTTAGTAGTAAATTTACAGGTTCATATTAACAAATTTTAAATATATCATTATTCGTATAAAATCAGATTATTAATATTATATTATTTGAAAAATTGAATCAACATACTTTAAACCTTCAATAATGTAAGGGTCAAATCCTTGTAGTATTACAGAAATTTAATATTGATGGGGTTCCCTGATTTCAATTCAAAGATGATTCTTTTGCATCAGGCCGAGTTGTAGCAAGCCCTCTTAAGTGTAATATAAGGGTCAGGCACTAAGTGTCAGAATGTAAGGGTCAAAAAGTGGAGGTTAAAAAATGAGGGTCAAAACATTAGAGTTAGAGTATAAAAGTAAAAAAAGTGGGTGTCAGGCAATGAGGGTCTAAATATAAGTCATATATTATGCTTGATCACCCTTTTAGCCCTTATATAACCCTGGTTGCATGACACTCATTTTTTATACTTTTATATTCAGACCTTATTTTTTTTATCCTAATATTCTCTCTTTTTTTAACCCTAACATTCTGATCCTTATTCCTTCACCTTTACATTCAGGCCCTCAGTTTTTGACTCTAATATTCCGATCCTCATTTTCTAACCTCCACTTTTTGACCCTCATATTCTCACGCTTGGTGTCTGATCCTTATATTACACTTGAGAGCGCTTTTCATCCTTGCATTTGAACACTCATCCCTCATTCGAGTATAAAATATACTTGAATCAAGTTTTTTTTTCATGTGTAAAAAAAATTTAGAACAAAAATAAGGGTTTAATCACGCCAAGTTTACGGGAATAATTTGATAAATTCCGATACAATCTATTCATTCTCTCGGAAATTCTAGATATTGACTTTTTTTTCCATTCTTCCTTGAATTTCAATTTCGATATTTCTGAAGTCAATTCCATCCCAATTTTCTTATTTGATTATTTCTGAAGTCAAGTCTCTTTCGTTGTTGCTCGAATTTTTTTCTATAATTTATTTCAACGTCTTGAGGTGCCTCAATGTTCTCAATTATTTTTCACTATTAAACAAAATTTAGAACTAAAACGGGAGATTAATCACGAGTATACGTGAATAATTCAATAAATTTCATAATAACGACATCTCTGAATTCAATCCGTCAGCAATATTTTTTCATTCGTCCTGAAATTTTTTATACTGTAAAACCACAGGAGAAATAAATGTTAATATTTTTATGAAAAGTTGCACCAACCTGTTGCTGAGCTGATTGAAAAAACGAGGAGTAATGTCAAAAGTTTAGTTACTCTACGTGATAAAAAGTAACTCGCCCCAGAATCCGGCGCCATGACGGACTCTCCTCGGCATGGAAATTAATCCTGAAACGAAACAGAGTGGAATTGAGAAAAATGTTTTCTTTGGACTCGGTATACGAGTTTATGGTCGTAAAAATTCTTTCTCATTCATCACTTGTAAATTTCAGTGGTGCTTGCATAGAAATTGATGATTATCCTTCAGGAGTTTTTTTTTCTTCATCGTGAGGGAGTGGATTGCGTTCTATTTTCCTGGAGTTGTCTTCGCCGACATTCAATATGAGCAAATAAGTGAGATCTATCAGTGGGATTACAACGGGTTTTGAAAACGTTTACCCCTTATGTGGAAATGCCACAAAAAATTTAAGATTTTGAGAAAAAAAAATTTTAATTGAACAAAAATGGAAATGAAAATAAAAAATAAAATAAAAATCTTTATTTGATATTTTTTCATTCATTTCAAGAATCTCTATAATCGTCTCAAGAATCGTTCAATAAAGAATTTAGTTGAACCCAATGAATATTTATTAATAATAAAAAAACATTCATTTAATACAAACAGAACCTCAAATATAGAAATTCTCTTAATTTGCTTGAAAACTTTATTTCGTGCTATTGAAAATTAATTTATTTGATCCAAATAAACTTGATTTGACTCAAATAAATACCTTTTAATATTTCCATTTTTGAATCTTTTAATATTTCCCTCACCTTGGGGAAAAAATTTATTGAAATAAAATAAAATAATATTCTAAATATATAAAAGAATGTTTCTGTGACATTAATAACGAACTTATTTAAATTAAATAAAGATTTTCTACTAATAATAAAAAAATTATTCAATACTTTAAATTAATTCAGTTTTTAATCACTAATTTCACTTAGTGATTATAAACTTTATTTCGTGCTACTGAAATTTTATTTATTTGATCCAAATAAACTTGATTTGGCTCAAATAAATCATTTTTAATATTTACATTTTTGAATCATTCAATATTTCCCTCACCTTGGGGGAAAAAATCAGGAATATACCGTGAAAAATATTGGAAATTTTTCCATCAATTTCCGAGGGAATAAAATCATCCAGCACCGTGACAAGAGACAGCCGGGGCCTCGCAATTTGGCATCGATCCGACATGCAAAAATGAGAGTTTGTGTTGCAGAGCCTAAGGAGGGTTGCCCAGGTGACACAACGATCTGAGGGTATGTAGGAAAACTGGGTATACATTTGCATGAGTGACTCTTCAAAATTCTACCAGCCGTAGCACACCTACTCTCAGTGCACGCGCATAATGTCGTTCTCCACGGTGTCGGGATCAAGGTCGCGGCTCGAAATACGCGCATACACTCAACTCCCTCATCCCTCCGCCCCCTCTCCTGCCGCAAATACACCCTCTCGACATTTCCACCCTTTCTGACATGAAATCATTTATTTTTCATCCAAAGTTCAACAAACAACGATCAAAAGAACAATTTAATAAGAAATAATTCGTTAAAAAAAATTGTTTCTCTAATTTAATAATCAATTAATAAAACTTATTATTTTTCTAATATTTAATTTATATTTAAAATTATTGCTGTCGTTTTGTTGATAAAGACAATTATTTATTAAAATTCATCTTGGAATTAATCAATTCCTTTTTCTCATTAATTTAGAATGAATTAAATATTTAAATAATTTGAAGTTATTATTAATCAATCAAACATTCTATTTTTCTTTTAAGTTCAACAAACAATGATAAAAAGAACCATTTAATAAGAAATATTTTTTTTGTAATGCACATCAATTGTTTTTCAAATATTTTGTTTACATTTACAATTATTCTTGTCATTTTGTGAATTAAAATAACGAGTGAATTATTATAATTCATCTTCTAATTAATAAATTCCTTTTTCTCATGAATTTAAGCCGAATGAAATATTTGAACAATAGCTATTATTATTAATCAATCGAAAATTCTATTTTTCGTCTAAAGTTTGACAAACAATGATGTTGTTTTCAAATTGTTTTAAACGAATTAAATGATATAACTCGATGATCAACTAACGAAAATTAATGGTTTTTCAAATATTTTGTTTTTATTTTAAATTATTGTTGTCATTTTGTGAATTAAAATAAACATTGAATTATTAAATAACCTCCTTTCCTTTTTATCATGAATTAAAAATGAATGAAATATCTGAACAACTAGAAATTATTATTAATCAATCAATTCTTGCCTCGATTTCTCACTGCCTACTTGAATCATGTACCTTTTTATCAAACAAGCATTCACTTTACGAAAAAAAAACGTTAAATAACCGATGAAACACTTTCAACATAAATACTGGAGGACCGAAAAAAGAAACTCTCGTCGAGTTTAACGTTTCACTAGTGACTGGCAGTTCACCGATCCTCCTCGTGTACCTGGTCAATAGTCCCACCACACCGATCATTATTTAAAACGTAAATGCATGAATTCTGAAGCGGCATACGCGCATGGCGACATCGAGAGCGATTGTAAAGAGTGTAAAATATGAGACTGATACATCGCCATCTGGGTTAGAGCTGATCGCTCACTGGACGGGTTTATAAGTATGTCCAGTCGCTTCCGGGGCATCCCCTTTCGCTTTCCATGGACGACTGCTGACGTTGCGATATCCTGTCTATTCATTTTTTTTTCCGATATTATTCTTTTATTAGCGTTTCCTCGTCATTCCGGTGATTACGGACTTTCAGTTTTCTTTGAGGACTTCGCGACGACTGTTTTAACGACTCTACATTCTTTTTTCGTGGGGGGATTGTACTGTTAATTGTCAGAGGGTTTCGGACAATTTATTTCACAATTTTTTTCGCATAAAATTTTTTTTTGTAAACGAAAATGAAATTAATTTTTTTTACAATTTTTTTCCAGAATTGTTTTTTTTTTAATGAGAAACAACATTCACAAATTTTGTTAAGTCTAAAATTGTCACAATTTCATTTCAGTTTTTTTACAATTTTGTTGCATAAAAAGATTTTTTTACTATTAAATAAAAATAAAAATCGTTCTACTTTTTTGCGTTTTTTGCCCCTGTTATGTCCGGAGATGTTGTCAACGTCGGAGGACAACTTTTTATATTTTAATTTTAATACTCTCGAAACTAATTTAAGAATTATCAATAAAAGAATAATCTGACGGATTATCTTTCATCTCTTTTAGTTTTTATTATGAGGACGACGCTATGCAGTCCTTTTCAGGTGTCAAAATAACTTCAAGTTTTATTTAGAATCAAAAGATTGATTTGATTTATTATATTTATTTAATCGGCTTCAAAGTTCTAACCGATTTAATATTTAGATGTTTACACGTTTTCAGATTAAGTTATAATTTTTTCAGAACTATAAATTTTACTGTCGGAATTTTACCAAAATTAGTATGAATGATTTTACATTGATTATTCGGTTCATAATAATTGATTAAGATTTTACAATTATATTGAAAAATATTCATTAGTAAAACTAATATATGAATTCTTCGGTAAACTAATGATTTCATTACCGGCAACGAAACCATGTGGAGTTTTATCTCTTTCACTCTCAGATAACTAATACAATTTTTATAGAGTTGAAGGGTTTTAATAATCGGGCCGGGATGAAACGCGAAATAATATATTGAAGGTCCCTTATATCCAAGAAAAGACACTATTCTGGATTTAAGGATGGAGTATCCCTACACAAACACGCCCAATAGCTATTTACTATTAATTCGATAGGTTACTATGCATAGTATCGACTTAACCGAATTACTATATGGGAAGAAACGCGAAGGTAGATCGATTTTGTGAACATTTTCCACCAGTAGTTCAATAATTCCGCGATCACGAAGAAATTTAGATTCCTTTTAAAGGGAGGGAAGCCCCACTCGGGACGAAGAGCGATAAACGACTGATTTAATTTATGATTATAATTATGGAATTGAGCGATGACCCACTAAATTGTGTGGTGCAACGCTTGGATTTTTCGCTGATCAATTAGCAATAGCATGGGCTGTGCTAACTTTCTTCGATTTCGTCAACTTTACGAATGGCAAATGTATGTTGAGGAAATAAAATTGGGAAATGACGACTAAAATCGGTCATTTCTCAATTTCATAATTCGAATTTTATAACAATGATGAATTCCCAATAAAGTGATTGAAAAATTATTTTTGGACATTACACCCCTTTTTCAATGTTTTTTTAAGAACTGTTTTTCCAGATGTGAGAAAACATTAAAGACTTTTGTTGAATTTAAAATTCTTACAATTTCTCCACTTTTCTCTCACGATTCTATTTACCCTATTTACTCAAATCCATCCGGGATGTTTTTTCCGATATAATTTTTTTATTATCTATTCCTCGTTATTCTGGTGATTACGGACTTTCAATTTTCATTGAGGACTTCTCGGTGACTGTTTTAATGACTCTATTATATTTTATGGGAGAATTGATTATTACTTGTTAAAATGTCTGCGCAATTTTTTTTTAAAAGATTTTCTCCATAGCAAATGAAATTAAAAGTTTTCATTCTATTCTTTTTGCGTTTTCGTATTTTTGCAATGTTTTTTTAAGAATTGGTTTTATATTTAAGAGAAAACATTGACGACTTTTGTTGAATCTAAAATTCTTACAATTTCTCTAATTTTCCTTCACGACTCTATTTACCCTATTTATTCAAATCCACCTGGGATGTACATAGAATTCGAAAAACTGGTGAATATATGCAACTGGAGTGCTGCCCTCCTCTGTAAAACTCGAACCGTCGTTCCACTGACATTCTAACGAATCCAAGGAATCCAACGACGCACAGAAATCCAATGGTACGAAAGTTATTCGTCCGGCACGCTTGGGAGTTTTGTACGAGTGAGAATTAGCTGTCAGAGTAGAGCAAATACAGAACTTGTGAGGTCGGGACTAGTGTGTTTATACGTGCCGGCTGTTATCCGGGGGATCAACAAGGACGTAATTATTCGAGCATATCAATTGCAAATTGACGGAATCGAAATGAGGAATTTCCTCGGCTCTCTAACGATAGTCGGCGCTACAGTCTGACTTATTCACGATTTTCAGATTTTCTTCAACTTTTTGTTTGATATTTCCTATACTTCAATAGTTGAGATGTTGCAAGTCTTCTCCGTGTTAATTCCAGATTCAAAAATTCAAGATTAACGAATGTGCTTTTATTGACATTCAAAAACAAAAAAAAACATTGAAAAAATTAAAATTCAAAATTTTGAAAATTTTTCTCTTTTTTCCTTCGACTGTTCGAATTTCTCCTGACACGATAATTTCCCAATTTTTGTATTATACAAATGTTCCATGCAAATTGAAGTATTGATTCCCATACATTACGAATTTCCTCGCCGAGCGCAATTTTTTCGTGCGGAAATGCGATGAAAAATTCTCTCCGAAATAAAAAAAAATCCGGATGATAACAACTCCAGAACGGAGGTGAACGTTTAGATAGAGCAACTCCGAGTGAGAGAACGATACTGAGGACTTAATCGTTTGGAGAAGGAAAAGGTCGAGAGGCTCTCGTATCCTCATTCAACGAGAAATCAATTCTGCACGGTTGGGCCAAGTACCTCCTGAGAAAATGAACGAAAATGCCTTCCGGAGATTCTAGAACTCCTTTATAACCTCGTAAATGTATTAACTTCGATGCTCCGTACTTTGTAGTCTCTTAACTTTTAATACTTTTTTTTCGAGTTTAGCGAGTGGACGGAATATTGCGTGGGTCGAGTATTATTGATATTTATGGAACTACATTAAACAATATTGATCTTTAAATTAATTTCGGAATCGTCTTTTTCTTTATCCAGACAAAACCGATTCTCATTGTTTATTTTTTCTTTTGGTAAATTTATTATTAGTGGATAATTAGCACCCGGAATTGCATTTAGCAAGAAATAACACCCAGAAAAATAATTCTTTGGAATAAAAAATTTACTCAAACTTAAACTTTATTTTACCTTTTGTTTAAAATTTTGTTTCTATTTACTTGTTTTTATTTGCGTTTTTATTCACGTGGAATAAATCGTTTTTAGAATATAAACACATGTTTCCTTGATACAAATAAAGATTCTATCAGTTAGGAATTTAATCATGTAATCATTCTTCATTGGGAATTAATTTCAATTTCACTCACAATTTTTAATCATTTGTTAAAATTCGAAAAAAACCATTATACAATTCCATTTTGCAAGAACTGACACCCATAAAAATGATTTTTTGGAATAAACAATTTACTCAAACTCAAACTTCATTTTACCTTCTGTTTTAAATTTTGTTTTTATTTATTTATTTTTATTTGCGTTTTCATTCACAGGGAATAAACAGTTTTTAGAATATCAGCAAATGTTTCCTTGATACAAATAACAATTCTACCAGTTAAGAATTTAATCACGCAATAGTTTTTTATTTAAAATAAATGAATTATTTATTTCTTATAATTAAAAAAATTCCATTGAAATGAATATGCGATTTTACTAATTTCCAACAAAATAATTGTTCAAACGAATAGAAAATGTTGAAAAATTTCTCATTTTGACCCCCGCAAGCCTTTAAATCCTTTCAATTTCACTCACAATTTTTAATCTCCTAAATTTTCTCTTTTCGTCAATTCATTAAAACCCCAAAAAACACTAACAAGTGAAAATAATTGGACAGTTTAATTGTCATACACACGGAAGCTCGGGAGTCACGTCTCGGATGCGGTTAATTAACACTGATGGCTTCCACAGCCGTAGTAATTCGCCCGCGAGTAATAGTACAATAACCGATTCTGCACTTTGTCATTACAATTTAGTTCCGCGAAATCGTGAAAGTTGGGGTCAGAATTTGTCTCCGCAAATCATTTGCGCTATTCACTGGCTCAAGTCTCATTGTCTCGTTTGATCTTTCACTTCAGCTGTTGGTGACGTGAGAAAATTCAACGAATTTATTAATGATCGGAAGGGAGAATCGAGTGCTGCTAACGGCTATTCGTTATTGAATTTTATGTCTATTGGAGAAAAAATGTCGTGAAAGTTGGAAATGGCCGGAAAATCATCGAATTTCCTGGTTGAGACATAAAGAATCGATTGAACTAGATACAGAATTTAATTTTATGGGTATTCTTGACAAACTTTCACTGGAATATGATAAACGAGGGTTTGTTGGGGAGTGAATGATACATTTTTTCAATAAAGGTGGTACATTCATAGGGCTCTGCCGTGGGAAAGGATTAGGGTGAGAAGAAAAATTGGAGAACAATTGCAGGATAAATAAATCAGATGTTGAGATACAAACCAAAGTACTATTTAGGTCCCTCAATTTTATTTAAATAAAATAAAATTCATTATGAAATTAACAATTAATAGTAATAAAAATTTTTCTTTTCGTATACCCTTTCGTGTCTTTACGATTTGTTCCCTTCCCACCCCCCAACCCCCTGTACCGCATTCGCCGAAGGACAAGGGAAAACCTCATTTGAGGGAAAAACCTGCCCAGGTAGTCTTCTCTTGCGAGACTCCCGCTCGACAATGAAACCGTGAGATTTAGAGTGTCACAAATTTGAGCCCCTCCAGCCGGGAATCGAACCCGGGTATCCCGCATGCCAATCCCACACTCTAACCACACAGCCACCGCCGTCGGTATTAATAATAATAATTTTAATAATTAATTACAATTATCTATGATTTTTCTTTATTTCTCTTGTTTTTTTTTAATCATTAGAGCTTTTATCAAAAATCTAATATAAAGTGTTTGAATATTCATTTGTTTGGGAATAAACATTTATGAAATTTATTACTTTTATTATATTTTATAACATTAGCTTTTCGTCGATTCTAGTGATAAATTCCGCATCTTTGCTGCGCGGTTTTTCCGATAGAAATGTTGTGACAGAAAATTTTTTTACCCGGTCGTCAACACTCTCCAAATATTCAAATAGTCGAAAGTAAACCAATTGACATGAATAAAAGTCGAAATTGAATTTGAAATATATGCCTAAACAGCATTGCTCATTCTTCTAATCACGCAGGCGTCGAAATATTGATTTCAGTAGTTGTGGAGGGGATACCGGGCCCGAAGCAACAAGTCGTACGAGCGAAATAAATAAATCACTCTTGATAATATCTTGCTATTGGATAGAGTCTTCTCATTACTGCGATCACTTTATTTTCTATTATAGTTTTAAACAATTGGTTAATTATTTTTATTTTTGTCGAAAATGTGTGTATTGGGTACTCCTGTTGTCGTCAAATTCAGCAAAATTTGATTATAAAATTGTAAGTAATTAATTTATTTCCCTGTCGGATTATATTTTCTGGTCATGTTCAATTCTCGATCCTTTTGATTTATTTGGGTCTTGCCAATCGAACCTATTATTGTATTTCATCTTTCATTTCGTCGATTATTTCCACTTCGTTTATCGTTTGTGAATTTGTCGATGAAACTAGCTGGCGCCCAACATTTAACATATTTATTTATTCCTTGTGAATTCCTTTGATTTTTCTCCTCCCCTCCATAAGATTTTGTCGATTATTCATATTTACAATAAATTAAAATTATTTATTCACCGTCGAAAGACTTCTATCTCAGTTTAATGGAAAATAATCTATAGAAAAATCAAATTCTATTGGTTTTTTCTAGAGAAATTCCTCGACTCAAATTTTCAGTTTTTTATTTGACTTTTTTTTAATTTTAGGGAAAGAGAAAAAGAATAGAGCGGAAAAACTCGGACAATTAATGCCCAATCGCTAGAAATCCAATAGAATTTTCTGGTGAATTCGCCATTTCTTTTCTTTGTGACAAAATTTTGTATGAAAAATGGAAGAATAAACGACAGAATTATTCAGCCAAAAAAAAAATAACAAAAAGTAAAAAATAACAAAAAGGAACAGAAAAATTATTCCAAGTTTTTTTCCTCCGGGCAAGGGTCACCCAAGTGGTTATGGATCGATTGAGGAGAACGGTAGATAAGTACTGGCTCAAGTACTAGGTGTAGTCCACCTGATTATTCTACGTAGTCTGTTGCAAGGATTTACACACGCAGCAATCAGTTTTTCAGGCTTCGGTGGAACATGCTTACGATTATGAAACAATGGGTTTCTACTCGCTATCGAAACGTTTCGATACTGATTTTAAAGAAATAAAAATTAAAACAATGCGCAAATCTCTCATTTTTATTGATGAAAAGTGAACAAAAATGTTTTTTTCTCACGTTCTCTAGCGTTTTTTATGACGGAAATATTCAATGGGAAATATTCTGTAAAAAAAAATCAATAGAGTTCGATTTTTCTGTTGACATAATTTCTACAGAAATTTCTCAACCCACATTTTCCAGCTTTTTGCGTACATTTGTTTCGGTGAAAAGAGAAGAATAGAGTGGCAGAAACTTAGAAACTGAATGTAAGAATTTTTTTCTATAAGAAATATTTAAGTCATAATTTGCACCAGAATTCTTTATAGCAGCCAGGTGGCTGTCTACCGCAACCGTTAGACGACAGTTCGAGATAAAAATCGTGGAAGGAAAGGTCATACTATATAAATCACTGTGAGTGGCGAGCAAGATCATAATAATGTGCATAAAAAATAATAAACGCTAATTTCAATTTTTTTTCATCAACTTTTTTTTACTTCAAAGTAGTATCAATAAACTCCAGTTGGGGCATTGAGTGTAACAAAGAAAAATAAATTCACAAAGCCAAACAAAAATTATTCATCACTGATAATTTTTCCCGTGAAGTCTAACAAAAAGAAATTAAAAATTAATAATTAAAATTACTAATTAATAATTGAAATTATTTCTTCAATAATTTTTTTTAACAATAGTCTCTCGTTTGACTCGAGTATTTCGACATAACGCGCCCATTTCAAATACGCAGATACAAATTATTTATTACAAAAGTTTGACACTGACGATAATTTTCATATTAAGCGCGTAATTTTTATTCATGTTTTGTGATTTTTCAAGATTTTTTTCTAGATTTTAATGTTCTAACCTCCAAAAGTTAATTTTTTCATAAAATTCAGAGTTATATTTGCAATTTAGTAACGAAGCGGTAAAACGGTCTAAGCCGATTTTGACAATTTGCCAGTTTTCAATGAATATCTCGAAATCCAACGGAGATAGCAAAATTTTTGTTATAACCTTTTTTATACCACTCAATTTGTTCTACAAAAAAAGTTATTATGAAAATTTCATTATCTCCTTTCGCTTCAGAGATATTCCTGGAAAACTAAAGACGAAATCGACTTAAACCGTTTGACCGCTTCGCTATTGAATTCTAGATTAATTACTATTAATAATACTATAGCCTGCCGATTGAGCCCAAACTCAACTAGAATGTTTCTACTCATATTACCTTTCGTTTACAATTTATTTCATATTTTAATCTCCAAATTCAAGTTATGGTTACGCCACTTTAAGCGGAGGCCGCAGGGAAATTCCGAAATCGCAGGGGCTTTTATTTATCATCCTGAGATTTGAAAACGTGGAAATTCTCCTCGACGAAGTTGACTCAATCTTCCAGAATATAAATTCGATTATTCAGAAAAACATCTTGACTCACAGCATAGTCACCCCATTTTTCAACTAAACGATGAGAATCCGTCGTTGCCAATGGGTGGAAGGAGCGAGTTAACGCTGTCTCTCATTCTCACTTGTGCAAATGTTCCACTGAGAGTGGAGTATATCTCAATCTAGCGCTCAAACGACTCATGGAATCTCAATTAGAGTGGAAATAAAGTACGAGGGGGTGATCCTAATTACATTTGCGAAAGAGCATTATTCTGATTTATAAATTATTTCAATTTTTTTAATGGAACAAATGGGTGTTCATAAGTTTTCTTTAATTATGCTTTCTCCTGAATAAGCAAACCATTATGATGAGATGATAAGAATGTATTTAATGCATTAACTGAGACTTCAGAAGATAAATGAAGAGTTTACACAGAATTTCGAAATCCTTCAAACGTTTCAATTTTGCCAGATCTTATTCTGAAAATATCTTCGGAAGGAACAGGCCTAGCAAAAAATATCATAAAAGATTTTTCATAGAGAATTTTCTACTCTACAAGAAAGGTCCTTAAGATTCTTCTTCTAAACTCAACCGTTACCGAGATATTCGCTAGATAACGAAACTAGAATATCTTAACTTGGTAGGTACTTCTCCATTTTACTAGAAATTCCAAATAATTCTCGTAGAATATTATGCCACATCACTCATTCCGTGTTTCCATCGACTTTTACAGTTCATTGGTCAACGGACTCACAACCAATCGCCTCGAAAAACGTACGAATGTAAACACAGATACCCAGTGATCCTGTGAAGACAGAATACACTGTTTTAACTGTAACATTTTTAGTGATAAATAGAACGGAACGAGTCATATACACTAGACCGGACGCTCGCTGATCTATCACCCCATTTACTCCTGAGAAGCTTCGTTTTCTTCATTCAAATGTATTAAATTTAGTACAATCGCGAATACAGTAAAAAAACAAACGATACCACGTGTGAAAAAATTTCGTAGAAAACCTAGCGAATTCGCAACTGTATGCAACTTATTCTATTGAATTTTGCTTCCGAATGGAAGCCTTGTTTTGACGGATTTAAAATTTTAAACAACTGGAAAATTTGAGTCGAGGAAATTCTATAAAAATTTCAATAGACTAATTTGCATTTTAAAAAATCGATTTCTATTGACTTTGTCTGTAGAATATTTCAACAGAATCGGCCAAATGAAAAAGAATTGTCACGCGAATTTGCTAGGTTTTTCTGTTAAATTTTTTTGTGACATAGAAAAAAATCAATGGTAACGATGAACGATAAGTGAAAAATTAAAGGATAGTTTTGATTCTGTGATCAATTCCCTTTCACTTATCAAACTCACCCGGTCAATACCCGTAATTGTTGAAAAATAAGCGAAGTATTATCATTCAATTATCTAAAAAAGTGAACAATTTTGTTGAGTGATTCTGAAAATCCGGGAATTCTCTTGAAAACTGAGTAATTTTCTAAATTGCTGAATGAAAAAGAAAACAGACATTTTCCTTCAACTTCCTTAGCGACTAGGGAATTCTCATCATTCTCATATCAACGTTTGATGATAATCAAAAAATTAAAAAAAAAAAATAGAATCAAATGTAAGCCATTCGCGGAAAAAGGAAAATCGAAAGGATTAATTAATGAGATTAAAAAACTTCATGATGAAAGGAAATCCAAAAAGACAGAATTAATCAATTTTATGCATGATTAACGTAAAAAAATTACAATTATGACGCAAAGAATAATTTTTGAGTTTAAACAATTTTAAAAAACTTCAAAATATTTATTATATAAAAATATTCATTCATTTTCAAATATTATTCAATATCATAATATTTTAAATATTAATAATATTTATTTGTCTCACATTATTTATTTTCATTATCATTTTTTATTATTATTATTAATTTTTTTACTTATTAATTCATATATTCACTCATTACTATTATTTTATCATTCCCAATCGTCTTATTTTCATCTAAGAATTGGATAAATCAACAATAAAAATTCATCATCCTGAAATCAAAGTGACACCGTTTTTATTTTTTCATCTTTCATCCAGAAACAATTTTCGTGACGCGCCCCCTCAATTGTGACCCGAATGAAACCATTCCGAACGAGAGGGGATTTATTTTCCAGAGATATATTACAACGTGGAGCAATGAAAATGTGATTTATCCATTCTGCCGAGAAAAAAAACACTGGTATATTTCGGTATTTTTCTCTCTCTGAGCACTCGGGCATTCACTCATGCTAATCATCCCGAGATTTCGTGATTCATGAGTCGATTATGCAGAGTTTAACCGCTCAAACCCATTTTTATTACATTTTTTTTCTCAATTTCTCCTTTTTCCCCCGATTTTTCACTTCGTTTTCATTAGTTCAAGCGTAGTGTTAGTCAGGTGGATGCAGAATAGAAAGTGGTATTCATTAGGAATTTACAACGAGTGCACGGCCAGATTAATCCGCCCAAACGCGTCGAACTAGTGCCCTTTCGGGGCTGATCAATTATTCGCATTATATCGTTTCATTACATTTCGTCAGGCGTTACGATCACATTTTTCCAATTAGTCCTGAATGTTTGTTTTACACATTTATTCGTTAACAAAATGAATAACTGCGTGGAAAAATTTCTCCCGCCAATATCATCTCTCCATCAGAATTAATTACGACTATTAGAATATTCTCATTAAAATTTTCCCGACAAGGAGAGGAATTTTATGCGCCGCAAATGT